CTATTTTGTGTGTTTGCACCGGGAGATAGTGGCGTAGTATAAATAAAGATGATGATGATTATTTATTAACATCTGGGAGCCTCAGTATTCCTACTTCTGATCTCATCAGTGGGAGTGGAGAAGTGAAGAAAAGTCAAAGACTGCTGAAGGATCAACAGGACACAAATGCACGCAGTTGCGTAATTAGTACTTAGCCTAGTTTCAGATTGGATGGGCACTACTCGCTCTTGCATTACTGCTCTATAAAGCTGACCTGTCTTTGTGGTCAGGAGGGATATTCCATGGCTAGTGGATACAAAGGGCTTTTTTGCGCTGTGATGAAACTCAATATATGCCTTCTGACCTTACTTCCATGTAGAAAACCAGAGGCTGTTTCTGAGCTTGTTGTCCAAACTATTTGAATTCCCAATGAAAAGTTGGGTGGGGGTTGAGAGTTGACCTGGAAGCTCGCTACTGGCTTTGACCCATTTCTCTTCTATTCTTGTTCGCAGGACTTGGAAGGCAAGATCATTGTGGATGAGCTGAAGCAAGAGGTGATCAGCACCAGCAGCAAGGCAGAGCCTCCCCAGTGCACCTCATTGGCCTGGTCGGCTGATGGACAGGTGAGCTCAGGTTTCCAAGGGTTCTGTGGCTTTCTTGGCATCAAAGAATTGGCAGAAACTACATGCCCTGCTGTGCAGGAACGTACAATCAAAGTACTCCCAACATATGGCCATCCAGCCTCTGCTTTAAAACCTCCAGAGTCCAAGACAGCATATTCTTGTGCCAACAGCACTTACTTTCAGGAAATTCTTTCTAATGTACAGGTGGAATTTATTTTCCTCTTGTTTGAATCCATTCTTCTGTGTCCTAGGCCCCTTCTGCTACGTTTTCTGCCTTGATAGTCTGGGTTATACTGCTGTGTGGAAGGGCTCTTAGTCTCTGGAGTTTTCCTATGTCTGCACTTTTGATGTCACCAGAGCATTGTCTCCTGCTTCATTCTTGAAGGAAAGCCTGGGTTTTCCTCCTGTTGTAATTGGTAACTTTCTAGGACATTCTGGGTGAAGAAAGGGTATTATCAAATCTGTAACAATCCCAGGGATATGGTTCCTAACCTAAAAACCTGAAGCTATGATACTTTGAAGTTTGAAAACTTAACTTTGATCTTGTTAAGGCTTACGTGTGTGTCTGCTTTTAGAAAAGTGAAGTTGAAAGGTTATGATAACAGCTGGTGAAGATTTGTGGACTGAGATGGACAAATTGATTAGGCTGCTAGAGGAGACATATGTGTCCAACTTCAAGAGAGATTGGGGGATTTATTGACATAACAATGAAGGGGGAATTCATTAACTGGGACATGAGCTAGGAGTATGTTATTAAATGTAGAAGTGTGATTGTCCCTGTGATTGTACAACATTATTTAAAGGGAAAGGAGCCTGTGGTGGGCGCAGTGCTGAACTTGCTGACCAAAAGTTCAGCAAAATCTAGCATAGTGTCTAGATCTAAGAAAGTAATGCTACCCCTCTATTCTGCTTTGGTTAGACCACACCTGGAATATTGTGTCCAATTCTGGGCACCACAATTCAAGAGAGATATTGACAAGCTGGAATGTGTCCAGAGGAGGGCGACTAAAATGATCAAGGGTCTGGAGAACAAGCCCTATGAGGAGCGGCTTAGGGAACTGGGCATGTTTAGCCTGAAGAAGAGAAGGCTGAGAGGAGATATGATAGCCATGTATAAATATGTGAGAGGAAGCCACAGGGAGGAGGGAGCAAGTTTGTTTTCTGCTTCCCTGGAGACTAGGACGCGGAACAATGGCTTCAAACTACAAGAGAGGAGATTCCATCTGAACATGAGGAAGAACTTCCTGACTGTGAGAGCCGTTCAGCAGTGGAACTCTCTGCCCCGGAGTGTGGTGGAGGCTCCTTCTTTGGAAGCTTTTAAACAGAGGCTGGATGGCCATGTCAGGGGTGATTTGAATGCAATATTCCTGCCTCTTGGCAGGGGGTTGGACTGGATGGCCCATGAGGTCTCTTCCAACTCTTTGATTCTATGATTCTATGAGGAGCGGGTGAGCTTCTGTTGTTAGCCCCAGCTTCTGCCTAAATAGCAGTTTGAAAACATGCAAATGTGAGTAGATCAATAGATACTACTTCGGCGGGAAGGTAACGGTGCTCCATACAGTCATGCCAGCCACATGACCTTGGAAGTGTCTACGGACAATGCCGGCTCTTTGACTTAGAAATTGAGATAAGCACCCCCCTCCCAGAGTCTGACACAACTAGACTTAATGTCAAGGGGAAACCTTTACCTTACTTAAAGGGAGCAGACCAATTAAAAATTTAAAAACCATCAGATAGAGAATGAGGTCTGTCAATTCGTTTTTATGTTTGTTAGGGTTTTTTTTTTGTTTTTTCTTTTGTTTGTGTGTGTATCTTTGTGTTTATATAGAACTGGAGGAGGGGGGAGTGTAGTGCTTGGATTGTCATGTGTTTTGGCTGCTTTATGAGCTATTCCATATTGTGTGTATCTAGGCACCTTAAACTCACCTGTTGATTTGTGGTAACGCCATGAATTTCACAGGGTTTTCTTAGGCTAGGAACTACTCAGAGGTAGTTTTTGACAGTTCGTCCTCTGAAATATAGCCTACAGTGCTTGGCATTCATTGGCAGTCTCCCATCTGAAAACTAACCAGGGTTGACTTCCAGCACAACTGATTTTCTGCAAAGTGACTTTGTCCATCCTGGACAGTTTTTCACTTATTAATACTGTTTCTTCCCCTCTTGTCTCTTTTTCGCACCAGACTCTGTTTGCTGGCTACACGGATAACCTGGTTCGCGTCTGGCAGGTCACAATTGGAACCAGATGAGAGAGTATGCTTGTCCACAAGGCACAGGTTCTCATGTTAAAAACCCCCCAAATAAAAACAGATTTTTTGTGCTGAAAGATGGGTCTGTTCTCCTTATTCCATGTATGGATAAACCCAGGCCCAAGGGCCAGATGCAGCCCCTTGGGCTCTTTTCTCAGGCCCTCCCTCTCTCAATCCATCCTTCCTTCCTTTTCCTTCCTCTCTTTCCTTCCTCCTTCCACTCCTTCCCTCTTTTCCTTCTTTCCTCCTTCTTTTCTTTCCTCCCTCCTCCCTTCCTTCCTCCCTTTCTTCTCTTTTTCCTTCTGGGGGATGTTTTGCTGGGAAAAGGTAGAGAAGGAACATGAGAAACATGTTTCAAGATTTCAAAAGGTGTCCCATTGAGGAGGAGGAGGGGAAAAACTGACTTTCTGCTGTTCTAGAGACCAGGGCGCAATGCTTTCAAATGGCATGTTCAGGTGGAATCTCCTTTCCTATCATTTGAACCCATTGCTCCAAGTCCCCAGGACAGCAGAAACTCAACTCCCCCCCCCCCCCCAATGTGGCATCCTTTCAAATATTAAAACATGGCTCCCGTGTCCCCTCTATTGGCCTTTTTTCCTCCTTCGGCCACTCCTCATAGGGCTTACTTTCAGGCTTTCAGTCATTTTAACTACTGATTGAAAGCCTGAAAGTAAGCCCTATGAGGAGTGGCCGAGGGAGGAAAAAAGAAGGTGAATTGGGGACATCATTTTAATAATCATTTTAACTACTGACTCCCCCCTGGGCACACAGAAAACTGGGCGACTTGGAAGGCGCTGAACAGACTGGTACGAGATGTAGGGCCAACCTTAAGAAATTGGGCTACAAAGTGGAATCCACGACATGTGAGTGTAGAGAAGAGCAAACTACAGACCACCTGCTGCAATGCAACCTGAGCCCTGCCACAAGCACAATGGAGGACCTCCTTGCAGCAACACCAGAGGCACTCCAAGTGGCCAGATACTGGTCAAAGGACATTTAATCAACTACCAAACTTGCAAACTTTGTGTTTTGTCTGTTTGTTTGTTTTGTTTGTTCCTAACACAATAAATAAATAAGTTTTAACTACTCTCCTGAAGACACATTCCAGCTTGTCATTCTCCCTCTTGAATTGTGCTGCCCAGAACTGGGGACAGTGTTATTCTAGGTGAGATGTGACCAAAGCAAGAGGGGCACCATTACTCCCTTGATCTAGACATGATTATACTCATTTTGATGCAGCCCAAAATTCCATTGGCTTTTTAGCTGCTGCGTCACATTGTTCACTCATGTTCAACACGTGTTCTCCCAACATACTTTTGTTTACTTTTTACTTTTGATAGGTTTTTTTTAATTCAAAAGTAAGATGGAAGAAAGTATGAGATCAAAGCTCTTTGAGAGGCTTCACTTTACCACAAATCAATCTCCTTCCAGTTCACACCTGACAGTGCCCCACACGGTCCCTTTAGAAGTGTTGTCATTAGTTTTACAGTGGCTTTCCTGCAAAGACGTTTCCATATCCAAAACTATGCAACTCTTAGTTAAGTCAGCATTGGGCAATGGTAGCTTTCTAGGTGTTGACTGCAACCCTCACTACTGAGCAGGCTGACTGGGAGTTGCAGCACCCAAAATTTGGAGGGCTACTCTGCCTTATCAAGGCTAGAAGTTCAATGCTAAACTTCTGACACAAGGGGGGAAATTGTACCTGAGTGACGGGAGATGTTCTGCACACAGGAGATTCCCACTTGGTGATGGGAAATAGTGCTGTCTGAAACTGGGAGCGATTCTGTTAGTTATTAAGCTAATCAAAAGGTCGGCGGTTCGAATCTGGGGAGTGGGGTGAGCTCCTGTCTTATCAGCTCCAGCTTCTCGTGCGGGGACATGAAGGAAGCCTCCCACATGATGGTAAAACATCCGGATGTTCCTTGGGCAACATCCTTACAGACAGCCAATTCTCCCACACTAGAAACGCCTTGAACTTTCCCAAGTTGCTCCTGACATGGAAAAAAACCAAATTAAGCAGAGCAAAACTAGAGCAAAAGACCCAACACAATGTGACTAGTGTGTATTTTACACAGACTAGACTGGTGACAAGAACCGCATTCCATTTGTCCTCTCTTTCAAGGCTCGAACAAACCATACAACAGCAAACCACTTACTGTTGAATCATTTATTTATTTATTATTCCTCAACTTTTTCCAAAAAACTAGATTTCCATTTTTAGGTCTCATTTTTTTTTAGCGAAAAATAGTTCAAAAGGAGCTCTGTAATGACAAAAGGAAAAGAAAAATGCATACAGCAGAGCATAACCAAAGCTCCAGTCGTTTTCAGGATGGAAGACATGAATTCTGCACTGCAAGTCTGTGGAGTGATGGGGAAGCAATTTAAAATAAATTATCTAAACTGGGTGAGGGATGGCAGGAGCAAAGGGCTAATAGACGTCAAGGCAGCCATAATAAATCCCCACCACTAAAACTTCTGGTGAAAGTTACACCTTCCTAGAGCTATGTCCCTTCAACAACAGAGTCCTCAACAGCAACATTTGAACCTGCAATTCACCAAAAACGTGCCTCTAGATCACACTACTAGCAGCAACAGTAGTAGTGATAATAAATATGTCCTTCTGGGACAAAGATAACATAATGGAACGGGGAGACAAGCAGCTGAGACAAACCACATACGGAGAAGTGATATGAAACAGATGGTTCTCCCTTGGAATTGGAGGCATTAGTAAAGAACAAGAGCAGCAAAAAAAAAGGAGAGCAGAAGACATTTGAGAAATAAACTGCATTTGATCTGGAAACCAGCTAGAGCATTGCTCTACATCAGGGATGGAAACCAAACTTGGACAACCAGGCAATCATAGCATTCCTTGGGCCTTGACCTGAGAAGATTCAGGTGGCTCTGGAATGTCAATGCACTACCTTTGGACTCCCTGTTGCTACAACCGATGCCACCAAGCACACAGCTTCACACTCACAAGGCAAAGAGGCTTTAACTTATATTCCTTCTGAGAAGTTAAGAGAGAGCTCATGAAGTCAAGAGATCCTTCAGGAGATGTGGAAAGAGTGAGGCAATCCACATACAGAACTCCAAAGAGGACAGAGAGAGCTTACTAAAGTGGATGTGCAAGGGAAGACATTGAAGACCATGATCTGGTCAAACGCCAGAGAAGAACATCTGTGTAGCATTAGAGCCAAAGAAAAAAGGGGAGCTTCTGTTGTGAATCCATGGCAGACACCAAAGAAAGTCCAAGAGTGAAGAGAGTAAAATATGATCTCTTCCCAGGTGGGATGACAAGATAAGAGAAGGTGGGGCTCCAGCCACGTGCAACAGTATCAGCAGTGATGGTCTCAGTTGCAGATTTTGATGCGGGTCCCCTTAGAGAGAATGCGGAAGAAGGGGAAGATGCGCTCGCGGAACGAGGCATTGAAGGTGTGGATATGGGCCATGTTTTCGGCATTGTAGAAACCCAGCTGGCCCCGCTCATAGTCCAAGTAGACGCAAAAGCGGCGGAGCCTCTCGCACGGAGAAAGGGGCATCTGCTCGGTGGTGCTCAGGGCCTGGTACTTCTTGCCATTGGTCCCCACACACCAGATCTCCCCCAGCTGGCCCCGCTCATAGTCCAAGTAGACGCAAAAGCGGCGGAGCCTCTCGCACGGAGAAAGGGGCATCTGCTCGGTGGTGCTCAGGGCCTGGTACTTCTTGCCATTGGTCCCCACGCACCAGATCTCCCGCTTCTGGTAGGGAGATGCAGTGCTAGCCTTCTCTTTACGCCGGGCCGACTCTCGGGCCGCCCCCACGGCCCACCCTCTCCGGCCCCCCACCTCCACCTCCCAGTAGTGTCGACCGCAGGTGAAACCCTGCAAGGCCAGCACGCAGTAGTCAGAATCAAAGCGTTTGGGGCTGTCGGGGACGTCCCTCCAGCGCTCTCCCAGCCGGACGCCCCGGGAGTCGGAGGAAAGGGTGAGCCGCGGGTGGGCGGTATCTGGATCCAGGGTCAAATCAACTGTAGGAGAGGGAAAAAGAGCACAACCGGGGGAAAACATTACTAGACGATTAAACATTAGCTCCTTCTACAGATTAAGTGGGACACTTCCTTCACTGTCATAGCCCTACCCAAATGGCCGTGGGCTAACAGCATTTAGACTTCAATAGATGTGAGGAATGTCATCAAAAGGCTTCTAACATGACATAATCTTCCTCTCTTACTTCTGGACAATCTCAACCATTAGTTTCTGGCCCAAAATGAGTGCAAGAAATATTGGAAAATATGAGACACTCCTTTGTAAATAAATTCAGAATACGTATCTCCAACAGGGAGTCTGTTGGACAGGAGAGAACAACACTCTGAAAACAGGGGAATTCCAGACATGAAACATCAGGGCCAGCTAACACCTCCCAACAAAGGATTCCCCAGGCAGGAATCAGCCAGACTTTGAAGCTTCAAGGCTTTGCAATGCTAGTTAATGTGATTAATTGCAACATTCACACTTGCCTCCATCAGGATGGGAGTTTTTTCTCCCACCCTGGAAATTCCACAGATATATAAAACTCCCTTGATTAGTTTCAGACCTCACAGACCTCTGAGGATGCCTGCCATAGATGTGGGCGAAACATCAGGAGAGAATGCTTTGGGAACATGGCCATACAGTCCGGAAAACTCACAGCAACCCAGAGATTACATTTGTTTGCTTCACCAACTTGCTATTTTCTAAGGACCAATGTTTTTCACTATAGTGATTTATTCTTGGTGTAAAATAGTTCATAGTGTTCAATCCATCATGGTTTTGCATTTTTTCCTTTTGTTTTCCCTAAAAAAACACACTAGCCAAGTAAAGCCACAACAGGGCTGTAAAAGTTTAAGAACATTATTTAAGTATTGTCACTCTTTGAACTTTTGTACATGAAAGTAGCCAAAATGCAACTCTAGGAACAAATACTAAATCAAACAGTTAAACTTCTCACTCATTCAATTGTCCATTCAAGACCATTTCAAATGCAGCCCAAACACAGATGCTTTTTTTAATGCATTTTTAAATAAAGTACTGTTTACTCCTTGGTCTTTCAATAGCCATGTCATCCTATTCTGTTAAGGAAGAAAGGATGATTGGGGTGTTGTATGGTTTCTGGGCTGTATGGCCATATTCTAGCAAAATTTTCTCCTGAAGCTTTGCCTGTATCTGTGACAGGCCTCCTCAGAGGATAATGCTGTTTTCATAAAGAGGGGTATAAATAAATATAAAAGTACAATAAAATAAAACTAAAACAACATTTATGGCTAAGGTTGGAGTAGGAGGCTTTTTAATTTCCAAAATTACAGTACAGAATCTCAGAGCTGGAAGGGGAACAATGGTCATCTAGTCAAACCTTCAGTCTTGCAGCAACACACAGATAAACCACTTCTGAAAGATGTTCATCCAACCTATAAAAAGACCTCCAAAAAAAAAAGGTCCACCACCATCTGAGTCATTTATCCCAATTCCAAGCATTTCTTATAGTAAATAATTTCTTCTAAACGTCTGAGTAGAATCTCTTTTCTTGTATTTTGAATCAAATGATTTATATCATAGTCTCCAGAGCAAGAAATAAATAGGTTCACTCCAACATCTACATGGCATCCATTCAGGTAGTTAAATACGGCTGTTATGTCACTTAGTCTTCTCTTCCAAAAGCATAACTCCTTCCTTCATGGTGATCTTCAGGTCTCCTATCTTATGGCTTTATGCCTCTAAGTATGTTTTTTGATTTCATCAGACTCTCCCCTCTCTTTGTCAGATGCTTTCACACAGTCTTCTTATCATTTTTAGCTTAGATTTTAAAATTTGTTGAAGTTTGAAGTATATAACCCCTTTGGGTTTGATGTGAAAAACAAGCTTGCTCCCTCCTCCCTGTGGCTTCCTCTCACATATTTATACCTGATAGCCATGTATAAATATGTGAGAGGAAGCCACAGGGAGGAGGGAGCAAGCTTGTTTTCTGCTTCCTTGGAGACTAGGGCGCGGAACAATGGCTTCAAACTACAAGAAAGGAGATTCCATCTGAACATGAGGAAGAACTTCCTGACTGCGAGAGCTGTTCAGCAGTGGAACTCTCTGCCCCGGAGTGTGGTGGAGGCTCCTTCTTTGGAAGCTTTTAAACAGAGGCTGGATGGCCATCTGTCAGGGGTGATTTGAATGCAATATTCCTGCTTCTTGGCAGGGGGTTGGACTGGATGGCCCATGAGGTCTCTTCCAACTCTTTGATTCTATGATTCTATGGATGTACAGGACTGAGTCCCTCTGTTATGATCTGGTCATTGACCGTAATAAAGTTTACTTACTTACCATAATTTCATTTTTTTCCTTTTGTCACCATGCATTATTCTTACCAACCCCCCGTCCCCATCCCTACATGCCTTGTTAATTCCAGAATTCTCACCTCCCTTCAATGTGAGTTTTTTCCACCAACCAATTTAAAAGCTCACTTCTGCAGAGCATCCTTTACTCTATGCATATGCATCTTATGTTGTATTCTGCAATTTGTAGTTTCTGCAGCCAACACAGGTTAGACTGCAGCACTTAATGGACTATAAGAAGCAAGCCTGCATTCTGTTGCTGCCTACAGCAGTGGTTCTCAAACTGTGCTCCTCCAGGTGCTTTGGACTTCAGCTTCCAGAAATCCCAGCCAGATTGCCAGCTGTTAGGAATTGGGGGAGCAAAAGTCCAAAACATCTGGAGGAATACCATTTGAAACACTCTGACCGACAGCAATACTTATTGCACAAAAGCAAAGATGAGACATATTTTACCGCGAGGAGCTTTGCTGAAGACCTTTTCCATCTTCTTCATGAGGACATCTATAAGGAAGTAGTTCTGATATTTCTTTCCTGCGTCCACTGCCACCATTTCTGGATCGTGGAATTTAATATTCTCACATCTGGCAAGGTGATCATTTAGAGAAAAGCCGTGTCAGAAACAAAGAGGGAACCCAACAGACTAAGCTATTTAATCGACAGAAAGGTAACATACTGTACTTAAGATAACACAATCATTCTAACATCTTCTCTGTTATAACGGAACTGTCTACTCTTTCCTAATGCTCTTTTCTATAATTTTAACACAAACAGACACAAAGAAGAAATAGGAGCAAGGAGATTAGGATCTGAATCCATTAGTGCAAATCTGAGTAGGCCTATTGTGTAAATATAATTCAGTTAGACACATATTTTGGTGTCTAAAATGTTAGCCCTCTTTCTAAGTATATTCGAGCTGCTGATTCAAAAAATGCCACCAGTTTTCCCCTATCAGCTCTAGTTTTTGAGATACAGAACATAAGCCATCTACCACTTGCTATCTGCTCACCATGATAATCATATCTAAGAAACCAGAGCTGATGCTTTCTATCCAGTGCCATTTTCTGAATCAGCATCCCAAATAGCCCCAACGAAGACACCAAGAAAACAAATTTGGGAATTAACCAATAGGATTTAGGCTTAAGTGGAGAAAAAGAACAAATACAAACACACAGAAACATCTATGCACATTAAGTGTCCTCTATGCATGCAGATGTCATTTTTAAGAGTTGTGGGGTTTGGTAATCCCATCCTCTCCCCAGAGTACCCAGCCTGGCTTCACACCAAGCAGGAAAACCCAGAAAAACGTGTAGCAACCCCACTTCCAACTAGAGCAGTGGTTCCCAACCTGTGGTCTGTGGACCACCACTGGTCTGCCAAGAATGAAAATATGGTCTGTGGGCTCATCATTACTACACTGTTGACTCAAAACCACGTGGCAACGAGAGCGACTAGTCTCGTGAAACCCTCTTATAGTGCCAAGGCAACGAGAATGTCAGGAGGGAAGAGGCTGACTACACATGAAAGACTGCTACTACCCCATCAGCTCTAGGATTATTAAATATGGGTGAGCAGACGGCGACTACTGGATGGCATATGTTCTGTATCAGAAACTAGAGCTGATGTGGTCTATCCAATGCAATTTTCTGAATCAGCACCCCAAATAACCAAACCGAACCTAAAGTTGACCAAAAACTGATTCGCAACCTTGTTGGTACTAATGTTGGAGAGTGGTTCTTGGTCAAAGTGGCCCCTGATCAAAAAAGGTTGGGAACTACTGCACTAGAAATAGCAAAAGCTTTGTGACACCCTCCCCCCCCCCCCCCCCCCCCCCAGGCAGACCCCTGAGATCCAGTGATTCTATACTCCTTATGCAAAGGGAGCATGTAACACCTTACAGACTAAGAGAGAGAAAGTTGGAGCTGTAACCTTTCAAGACTAAGTTTATTTCCTCAGATGCATGATAAAAGTGCCTAGGAAGATACCTTTATAGGCGGACTGTGTGTCTGCCTATAAAGGTATCCTCCTAGGCACTTTTAACTCATAACCATGCAAAACCTTTGGGTATGTTGATAAGGTGACATCTTCACAGTTCTGTAGTCACTGTGCATCTGGCTACGAGGTCTATGTAGGCAGATGCTTCCCCAATCCTTCCTGCTCGCTATGAAGCCCAGAATGGCCATGCAAGCAGACTTTGTGGCTTTATAATATATCTGCGCATGTAGATCTTTACACAATGCTAAATTGAGGCCATTTTAGGGGCATCTGAACTGTAACATTCCATATTTTTATTGCTCAAGTTTAGGGAACTTGAAGAAATACTATCCACAGGTCCCACCATCCACAGCTTGACAATTTTTTAAATCCAAAAAGTAAACCTTGATTTAAATATTTTATTTATGCCATTGTATATAATGGGACTTGAGCAGTCACAGATTTTGGTATCCATGGGGAGTTCCAGAAGCAAACTCCAGCAGATATTTATTTTATTTATTTACTATATTTGTGTACTGCCCCTCTCAGCCAAGAGGCAACTCGAGATGAGCCTACTATAGCAGTAACACTTCCTTACAAAAGCAGCTCTGCAGTATTAACAGAAACAATGGGCCCTTTCTTCCAGCCAGATAAACCAGAATATCAAGACAGAATAACCCATAATATCCGCTTAGAACTGGAATATCTGAGTCTACACTGCCATGTATCCCAAAGCAGATAATGTGGGATTTTATTCAGTTGTGTGGAAGGGTCCTATGAAGCAGGGTGGGGAACTTGGGGACTTCTAAATACTTCAGCACTCAGAAGCTCCAGCATAGTTAATAGTAAGGCCTACACAACCTGTGGCCCTCCAAGAGGTTTGAGACTCCAACTCTCAGAAGCCTTGATCAGTTTGCCCAATTGTCAGGAATTCTGGAAGTTGAAGTCCAAAACACCTGAAAGGCCACAAGTTGTGCATACCTGATCTAGAATATCAGATCTCTAGCATTAACAGAATTTGCACAATAAACTCGGTGTCCCAAAAAAGTCCTAAAGAGACTTTTGGGTGCACTTAGGAGAATCTCTAAGGAATTAAGAATAGAAGCAGCATAAATAAATTCCACCAACCTGACTAAAGTGCCTTTGAAGTCCTAAAAAAAGAAGAAAAACTAGGGTTAGAAAGGCAATCCAAGTTAAAAAGTAATCAAGGCATTTCAAAGACGAAAAGAAGTTACTTCTCAAACTTACTAACTGGGAACATGCAGTAGTGGTTTCCAAGTATACAAAGAATGCATACCAAATATTACCAAGGTAGTATTTATATACTGCTAGATTTACTCTTGTTGTCTAGACCAGAGCTTTTCAAATTCCTAAGTGGGCTGGATAATAAAATTATTTGTCCTGGAATCCCTAAAGTCTTCCAGTGTTATTCTTTTTCATGAACATCATTTAAAGGAGGGAGGGGGGTGACCCTAGACATTTATCTTCATAGCATCTGGATCATTAAAGGTCAGAGTTTGGAACTATTCAAATTCTCTACCACACATTTAGTGTCTGGCAATGTTATATTGGACTACATTTCCCAGAATCCCTCAGCCAACATGACCACCAGATGAGGGATTCTGGTATTTAGTTCCTTTAAAAGTAATTTTTCCACACTCTTGACACCTTCAGAAAAAAATTGCAGCATTTGGGCTGCCCACCTTCCTGGGTTTTCTTAACTTCTTTCCTAACAAACGTATACAAGAGTCCAACCACTGTAGTAAATCATGATGCCATGGCAAGTAGGCCCAATTCTCCTGCTTGGGGCAACTGTAAAAACAAGCAAATGAAGACAGGAGTTCACCTTGAGCAGCTGCAGCCCATCCTGCTTGCTCTTGTCTTCCGCTTCTGCAATAAGGCGACTGAGAGCGGCCTCCTGCTCCTCCAGATGGGTGACGTTGCTGCTCTGCCTGGCCAGCAGGATGTCATAGCGATCCTCCAGCTGATGTAGGAGCAGGGCCTGCTCGCCAACAAGAAACTGGTGAAGCCGCTCAAAGTCGGACTCAAACTCTTTCATATCGAGCTTCATTTTGTTCTGTGGGAAGGGAGGAGAAAATGAGGCGAAGGAGGATGAACGGTTTGGCAAAATCTAGCACATGTAAATTTGAACACCAACTCCCAGAAAAACCATTACATTTTGCATAGAGTGTAAAATAAAAATAACGTCTAGTCTCTCAAATAAATCTCAGTCCATGACAAAGCACAAGGAAATTAGATACCACTTCCACTAGCAGAGACTGGGACCCCCAAAAAATATTTATTTATTTATTTACAGTGCTTATATTCTGCCCTTCTCACCCAGAAGGAGACTCGGGGCGGATCACAGAACACATATACGCAAACATTCAATGTTGATTATACAATGACAAGACAGGCAACAGATAGAGGTATATTTAGGCTTTTTCCTTATCATTCGGCATCTTTTGGAGGCTGTTCTCGGTTCTGGCCACAGGAGGTGATGTTGCTCCATCTCCTTGCCAAAGAGCTTTCTTTATTTGTAAACTTTCCTCCAAAATGCTGTGTGTAAAATACCTCCCTCTTAATGTGGTTCCTATTCATCTACCCACATTGCTGCTTTCAATCCCCTAGGTGGGTAGAGGAGCTGGGCTGAAGATCAGGACCTTGCGCTGAGCGGGCTTCGAACTGTCAACCTTTCGGTTGGTAAAATTTACTGCAGCTGGTGATTAACCTGCTGTGCTAAAGCCGGGCCTCCTTATAGTATCAAGTACTCCTTATAGTATCAAGTAAATGTGGTCCTGGGGCTTTATTTCTTTAACAGAAACTTTGGCACAAGGTGTGGAAATACCATGGAAACAATAGGGATAGTCCCTACATCAGTGGTTCTCAACCTATGGGTCCCCAGATGTTTTGGCCTTCTATTCCCAAAAATCTTAACATTTGGTAAACTAGCTGGGATTTCTGGGAGTTGTAGGCCAAAACATCTGGGGACCTACAGATTGCTAACCACTGTCCTACACTACAGGGATGATGTTCTACATATCCACTTTGAAGAGTAGATGAAACGCCTGGCATGCTCTCAGATCCAGTGACATCACAAGAAGCCTCAGCAGCTCAGGGTTGCTTTTATCAGCTTTGACAAGCTCTCTACCTAATCCTAAGTAGGGTTACTCTTCCCACTGTAGTCCATGCTCCAGTAACTTTCCAAATGGACTATTGCAATGTGTTATTACTGGGACTGTCCTTGAAGACAACCTTCAAACTTCACTAAGGAATAACACTATGTAACAACATTTGAAAAAAAATCTGTTCCTGGTTTGAAAGTGTTATTTCTTGGTAAATTGTGTGGTATTTATTTTAAAAGTAGTTATTATACTCCAGAAACGTTGTTGTTGTGGCTGCCACAAACTTTGTTGAAATGGTTGAGACTCTTAAGATATTCAATGAAAAACTACAGCGAAATGTGCTACACAATGTCCCACAAAAACAAAGTTTTTGCAGTTGAATAAACTTTTTCCATGTTGTTATGATAAAACCAATTAGGAAATGACATTTATAACTCAGGAACAAAATTGGTGTTATGTAGAGTAATGTGGCTGCTAGCATTTGTAAATGTGGGCCAATAGGATCACATCACACAAATCCACTTGCTGCCCAATTACTTCTAGGCCCAATTCCAAGTTCTACGAATTTCTTTCATGCAATATGAAAAAAAAGCTTCTTACCACTCCAGCCTGAGAATATCTAATAATCTGGAGGAGGTATCAGTCACCTCATCATTATATGGCTTGGAAAATATGTTTCTTGACTGTGTCATCTTTCTTTTATTGCTTTATGGTTGTATCCTTCATTGTTGTACATAATTTGACTAGCTAATGTACCCACGTTTGCCCAGGTATACATTTTCTGAAAATAGGATTCTGTGAAAAACTTGATTATCCAATTTTCGCCCACATGGCTCGATGGATCTGGACTTGGTACACATATACTTCATTATTCACCATTAGTGCATCACCCTCACAAACCCAACCAAGATCTAGAAAACTGTTATAATATTACCTCTGAGTGAGCAATAAAAAATAAAGGGAATCAAAACACAGAAACGTATAATGTTTGAACTGAAACTTGCACAATAATCCAAAAACCTTCAGTTCTATTTTAGTGCCAGTCTCTTTCTAGGGCAAAGTACTCATGTTGACCTGTACAGTTCAAGGATTAAGTCCAGGCTATCTGGCAGGCCACACCTCTTAATGAGCCCTTAGATCAGTGGTTCTCAACCTTGGTCCCCAGATGTTTTGGCCTTCAACTCCCAGAAATCCTAACAGCTGGTAAACTGGCTGGGATTTCTGGGAGTTGTTGGCCAAAACACCTGAGTCCCAATTTTAAGAAAAGGGCAGGATAACCATAAACATAACAATTAACACAGGAACAACACCCACAAGACTAAAAGAGAGTAAAAGCATGTTCTCTCATAGTACAAGATCAAACAGCCTGAAATGCTGGAAGATAAGACGTTATGCACAAACAGAACATTTGGAGGCGATGATAGTTGTGAAACACACACTTTCCCTACAGTTCAAGTCAAATCTACAAGTTCAAGTTAAGAACATTTTCTACCCTTGTGAAGTCCAAGCTCTAGGAATCAACCTTGTGATTTTTTTCTATTTTTTTAAAAAAAGAAAACTTCTGTATCTACTGTGTGAGGACACTCCCAAACTTCTCCAAGAATCTGTGTGCTCTAATTATTGAGTCAGAAATGATAAGACAGTATTGGAATGCAGAAGAATTAAAAGAAGATTTGCATACCTTGAGATCTGCTATCTTCGCCTCTTCCTTTGCTTTTTGCTTCAAAACAGACTCCAGTTTCTTCTTCAGGGGATCCAAATGACCCTGGAGTTCAGCCTATAATAAATAAGTAACAACAATAAAGAAATAAATAACAACAAAAACAAATAGTAAATAAATCAATAATATAATTAAAAGAAGTAAACATCCAAGTTGTTACAGTGTTTTAATTAGAAAGTAATTAGAAAGTGATAAATACTGCAAATGTATTTTAGAACTTCTAATGCCATGATACAAAGTAGGAACTCGGACAAAATCTTGTTGGCCCATTGTTTGAAAACTGCACATCAGGTCCTAACTTCAGGCTATCACAAAGAGGTGCCAGTGGTATAAACAGAATTTTAGATATATGAGGTTGGGGTATATATACCAATGTTGAACTTCTCAATTTTTCTTTAAAGAGAGAAAGTATATGTGCAACCTCTGTAGCTGAAGATAAAGACAAACTACGAAAACTGATGGCAGGTTTTTGCCAATTAATGGAATAAGCCGTGCAAATATCACAGCATTCAAGCTTATACAACAACCCTGGTATTTAACTACAAACAATGCATAAACGAGCTGCATAAAATGGAACCCAGAACTCATAAATTCTCAGTCCAGATTTTCTTGAAGATTTTTCTATTTGTGGAGTTTGTTTTCAAAATAATATAATAATAACTTTATTTATTTTTTTTACCCCACCTCCATCTCCCCGAAGGGACTCTGGGCGTCTTACATGGGGACAAGCCCAAGCAGACATAGATTGAAAACACAACGCAATAGAACAAAAATAAAAATGAGATAAACACATAATAAAACATGACACAACATCACAAAAAAATCAGTAGCCTGAACAGTAATAAATACTGAGCTCGGAGGACTAGGAGCTAGTGCAACAGTTTCAGAACAGGGGCTGGAAGAAAAGTCCAAGAGCCAATAATAATCATTTGAACACTGGGTCTATACTAAATCCACTTTTTTAAATGGTTATAGGTGGCAGCACATTGTTGGCTAGTAGTAGACTATCACATACAGATCAAAACTACCAAATGTTTCAAATTACTTCAGTATAGGGCTTAGAAAATTGCACTTTACAGCAGGAGTGTATATTTTCATTTAGTTCTACTTCAATTGTCTTTTTATTTAAAAAATTTTTTTTGTTATAAAGCTTTTCAATAAAAATATATATATTTTAAAAATAGTGTATATTCTCAGCACTTTTCTATTCATATAAAATTTGTTCAGCTGAATTTAAAACCTTTTGGAAACAAGCTCTACATTTTAGTTAAGTGGTTACTTTCAGGAGTAATGGAATATTACCAAAGGTAGCATTTATATACTGCTTTGATTTACTCTTGTTGTCTAGACCAGAGCTTTTCAAACTGTGTGTCATGACATGTTCATGTGTGTAAGTGTGTCACACAAACATAACAAGAAACTTCTGAGTCTATGTACAACAGGTAATTAATCATATTTTTAAAATAAATAAATAAAACGTTTTCATGACATATATCATGTCACCACCGATTTCATTATTACCATTTATGTATATGTGTGTCTCTTTTAAAGGTTGGTTTAACCTCTGGTTTGCTAGTAAAACTGAATACAGGCAGCCTCCTAGTTACACATATCCAACTTACAAATGACTCATAGTTAAGAATGGGGGTAAGACAGAAGGAAGTGAGAGAAATCTATCTCTAAGAAGGAAAATTCACTCTTTCAAGGAATCTCCACTGAAGCTTTTTCACCAATCCTAGTTTCCACAGCAAGGCAAATTTTTCAAAATCGAATTATTGTATCACAGGGACAAAAAGTGAGGTGAAGTCTTCTGAACAGGGGCACAGACAGCAAAGCGAACACCACAGAGTTATTAACCCTTCCCTATGCTATCAAAAACCAAATATATGTATTTTTGACTTTATAAATGTACATGTTTTGACTTACATACAAATTCAACTTAAGAAGCAGCCTACAGAACCTACCATGTTCGTAACTTGGGGACTGCCTGTACTGTCTTGCAAAATGATGCATGACTAAAAGGTGTTTTACTAAACATTTGGAAAGCTCTAGTTTGTAAATGCAAAACATGAGAAGTTGCCTCATACAATCAACCCATTAAGTCCATTTACTTCAATATTATTTATCCTGTCATGAAGTTCTGAGTCAGAGAAATATTTCCTCTAATTTGGGAATGAACAGCTGCATTAGGGTGGGGAAAGGATTTAACTACACTTCTCCGCAGTAGGACAAAATTAGAAATGGCAGTATTTCCTATCTAGTTTCATTTTTAGTTGAAAGTCAGCCATTTTATGCAGACCAAAACAAACCAGCCTCATTTTATGATTATTTTAAATGTGGGAGGAAGACTTGGCAAAACATCATAAAATGGGATGTGGGGGACATGTGCAGATTTTTGGCCATATTTTAACTGGAGGCCTATAAAAATCTAAAAATAACAGTGGAAAAAGTGAGGTCCTTGAATAGCATACAGGCCTCACAAGCCTATTGCGATAGCCTCACAAGACTCTACCTGCATAATTTTCTCTTTCTTTGCAAAGATAGATGAACTCCTCCTCCTTCCCTCCATTTCAAGTTTGGGTTTCCCTCCCACCACGTTAAAGCAAGTTGGCCCCTGAGGAGCTGAATATGGGCTCCAGACCAGCTAAATTTGCCTGTTCCTACTGTAATTGCTCAACAATGTACAATGCTAAATAAGCAATGTGCCTTTCAATATTTCACAAATAGTATATGTTGTCCATGAATAAGTGTTGTGTATCTAGGGAGTTGTTCTTGTGTGCTTCCATGTTGTTTCTGATGTATGGCAACCCTAAGGTGATTTTACACAAAGGGTTTCCTTTGCAAGATTTGTTTGGGGGGAGGGAAGTTGACTCTAAGACTGAGAAAGTATGACTACTCAAGGTCAGCCAGTGAGTTTCCATGCCTGAAGGGATAGTTTAACCCTAAGCTCCAGTCAGTTTGGTGAAGTGGTTTTAACAATGGATAATGAGCCTTGGGTTCAATCTCTCTGAATCAATCATATCGAGAAAAATGATGGGGTTCATACTTGGCCATAAGTGAAAGCCTATGATGATGAAGAGAGAAAAGACTTGAAATCACACAAGAATGTGCTGTTTTTATGGGGAGCAGATCCATTGCATATGGGATGGGGAGATGATTCAGATTTCCCTACTGCTGCCTTCTAAGTAATCTTGTAATCCAGACATGCACACTTCTCTTTTTACAGTACTACTTAAACGTTTTAAAAATAAAATTTAGACTTTCTCAAAAGAGCTAAAAAAGCAAATAACCCCAGTTCTGGTACAGTTATTCAGATCCAGATCAAGACTGCACAGTTATGGATAAAAAAGAAAGAAATCTTTAATCTATCAACTATCACTTAACACGTTAGGCCCAACTAGGTATGGAAAAAATGCAGCCTACTAGATTATATCAATTGACAGTTCCCATTCACTTTCACCAGCCTACCTAACAGTAAAGAATGCTGGGAGTTGAAACCCACAGCATCTGGGAAATCACACTTTTCTCACCCACTGTCCTAAACCCCATCACTGGAGACATTACAGATTGAATATTTAGCAGTCCCAGTGGCAAGCATCACGGTTTTTAGGACTTGTGGGAGCTGATGTCCAAAACACCTGGAGGGTCAAAGTTTATCCATGCCTGCTCCACGATCACTTTCCTCAAGTCAGCCTCAAACAGAGGCTGGATGGCCAGCTGTCAGGGGTGATTTGCATGCAATATTCCTGCTTCTTGGCAGGGGGTTGGACTGGATGGCCCATGAGGTCTCTTCCAACTCTTTGATTCTATAAGTCATGCTAGAGGACCTACAGAATTTTAGTTTAAAAATAGCAATTTATTTATTTGCTATTTTCACGGGGCCCTGTGCCCTTAACCCCAGCAGGTGTGGACTTCGTGTGCATTCTTTCCTATTTGGGGGGTGGGGGCTCACGCTATCCACTGACACGGAATAGGATTACAGCTTGACATCCAGAGTCTTATCTTAGTGCAATGGTTCTCAACGTGTGGGTCCCCAGATGTTTTTACCTTCAACTCCCAGAAATCCTAACAGCTGGAAAACTGGCTGGGAGTTGTAGTCCAAAAACACCTGGGAACTCACAGGTTGAGAACTACTGTCTTAGTGCATACCTTATATTCTTGCACAACTTCTTCCAGTGGCATGACACTGTGGTGTTTGTGGGCCCGCGACTCCCTGCACACCACACAGATGGGCTCTTCATCTGTCTCACAGAAAAGCTTTAGAGGCTCCTGGTGTTTTTCACAGATGCTTCGCTCAACACTCTGGGCTTTGCCTGCAGCCAAAGCGGAAGGTGCTCCAGAAGAATCTCCTGCTGCAGCCAATTCCACCTCTTCGGTTGATGGAGTCGCAGGTTTATATGGCTGCGGATGCATCCGGCGAATGATCTCCACCATATTAGCTAGTTGCAGATTGGGTCGGAAGCTACGGCGGGGAAAGGTTTTGCGGCACTGAGGGCAGGTGAAAGCCTGGCGCAAGGGAGGCATTGGTGGGGTGGCCGGCACTGTATATTCAGTGTCTTCTTCTGGTTCCTCATCTTCATCCATGATGTCGTCCTCCTCATCGTAACTGTTGAAGAATATGTCACCTCCCATCGCATCGTCCCACATCTCATCAGACCCGGGGTCTTGGTCCCAATAGTCTCGGTCTTCTTCATCATCCCAGACGTCTTCAGCATCGTCCCCATCATACTCATCCCTGGAGAGGTCCTCTCTCTCCTCCTCCATGTCCCCATCGTCCAGGTACTCATCTTCTAGGTCATCTTCCTCGTCGTCCGCATCTTCCTCGGGCCCCAAATCACCATCGTCGATGCCCCCTTCCGAACCAGGCCCGTAGCCACCATCGGAGCCAGAGGCCTCCCCATCATCTCCTTCTTCCTCCTCACCTTGGCCTTCTCCCGAGCCCCACAGCTGCGTGATGCAGACGCGGCAGAAGTTGTGCCCACAGCCGATGGACACGGGGTCGATGAAGTAGTCCAGGCAGATGGCGCAGACCGCCTCTTCGTGGAGGTTGGTCACTGGGTTGAGGGGGCCCCCATGGGCACTGGAGGCAGAGGTGGAGGAGGCTGCTGTTGCCATGGACTTACCACAGCAAGGCCTCGTCCTGAGGCCTGCTACTCTAGCCCTTCTTTGGAGAGGAGGCCTCGCCTTGGGCCTAAACGCTGCTGTTTTATGGCCTACTTGGTGAGGAAGCTTTGCCTTAGGCCTAAACACTGCTGCTTTATGGCCTACTTGGAGGGCCACACCCCCCAGTCACTCTCCTGTGGCCTTTGGGCTGAGTTTGGGCCTCTTCCTCCTCCCTTCTGCCCTTCCTCTTCTCCACCAAAACCTTCTCTATCCACTTTCTTTCCTTCCTGCTGCTCTACCAGCCACTCCCTTCTTCCCTCACAAAGCTTCTCGGTCTCAGCTCTCCACAACTGGAAGAAGAGCCGTCGGCGGCCCAGGCTCCTCGCACCACAGCGTCCCGGSTGACGCAGCTTCCGCAACCAATGTTCTCTCCCTTTCCGGCCACCGTAGCTCTTGGCTCTCCACACCGGAAGTCGTGGCACCACTCTAGGATTCCATTGCTCTATGGTAGGAGAGATTCAGAAACGTCAGCCCTCCAGGTGTTTTGGACTTCAGCTCCCACAATTCTTGGGGGTTTAAGTCCAAAACACCTGGAGGGCCCAAAATCAATCTGTGTTGGTTTTATTAATGTTGGAAACAATCCCAAGCTAGTAAAATAAATATCTACCAATAAAATAAAATAAAATATAAAAAAATAAAGTAAATAAAATAAAATAAAATAAAATAAACAAGATTCTCCCCTGGAACATAAGACTCAAGAAGAAATCTAAAAGGCAGGCTTCTGAGCATGTGCAGAATGCATTCCTTCCATAATGGTTTTATAGTGTAGGCATGGGCAAACTTGGGCCCTCCAGGTGTTTTGGAACCCAACTCTGGTAGGAATTGTGGGAGTKGGAGTCCCAAAACACCTGGAGGGCCCACAATCAATCTATGCTGGTTTTATTAATGTTGGAAACAATCCCAAGTCAGTAAAACAAATACCTAGCTAAAAAGGAGGCTGTCCAGACCTTGAACCAGTGCTTGGCCGCTGTGTCAGACTGGATGACAGCTAACAAATTGAAATTGAATCCAGACAAGACAGAGTGACAGCTGAGACAGATGGGAGCTCACCCCATCTTGCGGATTCAAACCGCCGACCCTCAGGTCAGCAGTTCAGCCAGCACAAGGGTTTAACCCATTGCGCCACCGCAATGAGCCCATTGCACCATCTGAATAGGCTCATTCTATTAGGAATTTATCTTGCATGTGCTGTGGTGGTCGAGATATGCTGAAAGCATCACATTTTGTCTGATCTTGGAGACTATGCAGAATTAGCTCTGATTAGTACTTGAATGGGAGACCACCAACCAATTACAGATACTGTAGATCAGGGCTTCTTAAACTTTTCCACTCAGGATCCCTTGCTGATCTAAGAAAATTTTACATGACCCTGGTATATAAAATTGGTGTAAAACCCATTTACTGACTGCAGTTGCAACGCTTGCTCAGTCGTAAGACCGAACAAGGCATAGGGTTACAGCCTGTGTTAGACGGGGTTACACTCCCCCTGAAGACGCAGGTTCGCAGCTTGGGAGTGATCCTGGACTCATCGCTGAGCCTGGAACCCCAGGTCTCGGCGGTGGCTGGGAGAGCTTTTGCACAATTAAAACTTGTGCACCAGCTGCGCCCATACCTTGGGAAGTTGGATCTGGCCACGGTGGTCCACGCTCTTGTTACATCCCGATTAGATTACTGCAACACACTCTACGTGGGGTTGCCTTTGAAGACTGTTCGGAAACTTCAATTAGTCCAACGGACAGCGGCCAGATTACTCACTGGAGCATCATACAGGGAGCATACCACCCCCCTGTTGTGTCAGCTGCACTGGCTGCTGATCCAGTTCCGAGCACAATTCAAAGTGCTGGTTTTGACCTACAAAACCCTTTACGGCTCCGGCCCAGCATACCTGTCCGAACGTATCTCCTTCTACACAAGGACCACCTGCCAGGAGTCAAGAACTGGTAAAGGGACCATAATAAACCATACCAGGCAACCAGGCTTGACAAAGCTAAAGCTAGGCATTTTTTTCAAGGCCAAGATTCTCCCCTGGAACATAAGAACATAAGATCTTCTGGGGAGGCCCTGCTCTCGGCCCCACCTTTATCACAAGTGAGACTGGTGGGGACGAGGGACAGGGCCTTCTCGGTGGTGGCCCCTCGCCTGTGGAATGCACTCCCTGGGGAAATTAGGTCATCAACATCCCTCCTCTCCTTCAGGAGGAAGTTAAAAACCTGGATTTGAGACCAGGCCTTTGGGTAAGCTGGCAGATGGATAAAAGACAATGATGACCAGAGTAGGAAAGGACAATTACAATGCTGGATGGATTATGGATTTATGAATTGGCAAACGTTGACCACAAGATGATTTTATTGCTGCTATTGTATTAATTTGATTGTTTTAACTAGCTATAACTGTTGTCATTATATTGTATTTTGTATATTGTACTTTGTGAATTGTTGGGCATCGAATTGTGCCTGTTTTTGTAT